AGTTTGGCTATTGTGGACATTGCTGCTATAAACATCGGGGTGCACGTACCCCTTTGGATCCCTACATTTGTATCTTTGGGGTAAATACCCACTAGTGCAATTTCTGGGTCGTAGGGTAGCTCTATTTTCAACGGTTTGAGGAACCTCCATACTGTTTTCCAGAGGGGCTGCACCAGCTTGCATTCCCACCAACAGTGTGGGAGGGGTCCCCTTTCTCCACATCCCCGCCAACATCTGTCGTTTCCCGACTTGTTAATTTTAGCCATTCTGACGGGTGTGAGGTGGTATCTCATTGAGGTTTCGATTTGGATTTCCCTGATGCCGAGCGATGTTGAGCACTTTTTCATGTGTCTGTTGGCCATTTGGATATCTTCTTTGGAGAAATGTCTGTTCATGTCTTCTGCCCATTTCTTGGTTGGATCATTTGTTCTTTGGGTGTTGAGTTTGATAAGTTCTTTATAGATGTTGGATACTAGCCCTTTATCTGATATGTCATTTGCAAATATCTTCTCCCATTCTGTCGGCTGTCTTTTGGTTTTGTTGACTGTTTCCTTTGCTGTGCAAAAGATTTTTATCTTGATGAAGTCCCAATAGTTCATTTTTGCCCTTGCTTCCCTTCCCTTTGGCGATGTTTCTGGGAAGAAGTTGCTGTGGCTGAGGTCAAATCCCATTTACAATTGCACCCAAAACCATAAAATACCTAGGAATAAATCTAACCAAAGAGGCAAAGAATCTGTACTCAGAAAACTATAAAATACTCATGAAAGAAATTGAGGAAGACACAAAGAAATGGAAAAACGTTCCATGCTCGTGCACTGGAAGAACAAATATTGTGAAGATGTCAATGCTACCTAGAGCAATCTACACATTCAATGCAATCCCTATCAAAATACCATCCACTTTTTTCAAAGAAATGGAACAAATAATCCTAAAATTTGTATAGAGCCAGAAAAGACCCCGAATAGCCAGAGGAATGTTGAAAAAGAAAAGCAAAGCTGGCGGCATCACAATTCCGGACTTCAAGCTCTATAACAAAGCTGTCATCATCAAGACAGTATGGTACTGGCACAAAAACAGACACATAGATCAATGGAACAGAACAGAGAGCCCAGAAATGGACCCTCAACTCTCTGGTCAACTCATCTTCGACAAAGCAGGAAAGAATGTCCAATGGAAAAAAGACAGTCTCTTCAAAAAATGGTGTTGGGAACATTGGACAGCCACATGCAGAAGAGTGAAACTGGACCATTTTCTTACACCACACACAAAAATAGACTCAAAATGGTTGAAAGACCTAAATGTGAGACAGGAGTCCATCGCAATCCCAAAGGAGAACACAGGCAGCAATCTATGTTAGTTTTTTTATGGGCTCACACATTGTAGGCGCTCAATAACTTTTTTACTGGTGTCATTCTTGGGGCTGGGGAGCCTGAACTGCTTCTGCCTGGGGTGTCAAACTTGGTTTGCAGTGGGCTTTGTCATTGGAGCAGACATGGCTCACCCTTCCACTCTAACTCAGTGATTTGCTTAGTTCAGAAAGAACAAAATCCCTCAAGCCAAGTGCTGTGGTGCACACGTGCCCAAGGATGTATTGTCGGCACTGAAATGGATGTTTCCCTGTCACCTGCTCATTGCTGGACCTGGTCACCACAGACCAGGAGTTGAGGGTGGGGGTGTCTTCTCCTCTGGGGATGGGGGTCCCTGTTCCCCAGCGTTTCTGCCTGCAGGAGCCCCAGCCCCAGCATCTCTGCTCATGCTTCCAGATGAAACCCAGCACTTGGCCGGAGCCCTAGGGTGTGCTCTGGAGAGTCATCCCCACCCCCGCTTCCCCCCCCCGTTCCTCCCCCCTCCCACCGCACTTACATCCAGATAGTTCCTCATGGGTTCATAATATACCCCCAGGTCCGGATCTACAGACTCAACAAACTTGTAGGCCAGGTTGTAAGGATGCTTCTCCAGGTAATCTCTCAGCCTGTCTTTCTCCCTGAGGTTTTCTCGCATGGACTTGATCCTTGTCAGAGGGATTCTTTAAGCCAGCATTGGGAAAGAGAAACAAATGAGAGACAGCGATCTCGCCTGCCCCGTGTTAATATAACTATTACATCTCGTGCTGTGATCCTGCCATATTTTCCAAATATTTTTATGATGTCATCTTATCATCGGGACAGGCCACCCAACACCATGGAAAGACTATGGCAGTAAACTTAGGTTTGAGTACAAGAATACAAGATTACTTAGGCTCTGTTGTGTAATCTTGGGTAAGCCATGTGGCCTTTCTGTGCCTCAGTTTTCCTACCTGCAGAAAGGTGGAATGATAATAACCCCCTCACATAGAATGTTTGGGGTGTTAAGCAAAATGATGGCTATGGTGCACCTGACAGATAGGAACTCGTGACAGTGGCAGTCGTCACCATTGCTACTGTCATCTTTCTGTGTCTTTCTCAAAGAAACCCTGGGAAGGAGGTAGAATGGAAATTATCATCCTCTTTTTATAGGGAGCTGGTTACTTGGCTATTGTCACACTGCTTGTTAGAGGCAAAACTGGGCCTACCAGTAGCCCTCTTGATCTTTTTCCAGGACTCAACCTAAAGAGAGGGGTTATGAAGGAAGTGAGGCGCTGGGGAATAAATTAGAGAAATTAAGAGGATAGAGAAACAAGAAGGACTCAAACTAGGAAAAACACAGTTTTGCAGGGAGAGAGACATCCAAAGAGACAGAGACATATACATATGAAAATGAAGTGAGAGCAGAGAGAAGACCTAGAAACAAAGGCAGGAAAAATGCCGTTCCTAGACAGGACCTTGCCTACCGTTGCACAGGTTGTGCACTGAACAATTCCAAGGGATGCCGTTTCATACAGCTCATGATATGACTGGCACTCCTGGAGTTGTACAACCCTGCAGGCCCGTCTCAAGTCACCTGGACCCCACAGTGCACGTGGTAAGCTACTGACCAATAAATGGAGCCTTGAACTTTAAGACAGTCTGGGAGTGATTATATTCTCTTCTCTATCCATGGAGGGGCAGGAGAATAAGAGGGCAAGAAAGAGCCCAGAAAGAGAGCTGATGCCACCTGCACGCCCTGTACTTACGTGACTAAGCACTCTGAGAGGGCCACCAGCCCGAGGACCCCAAACCACTTCATGCTTTTTTCTTGGGTTCTGAGCAAGCAATGGCCAGCCTGAGTTGCTTGTTATATGTGCTCTGACCTGCCTTAGTCGTGCCCCTGAGGGCTGCTAAATGGACCTGATAAGACATGTGACCCTCTCTGATAAGATCTCTATCCCCATCAGTGTTTGTGAGGAGGGGATTTAGAAAATTCACAGAATACAGAGATTTCTATTGTGATCTCTTCCTTGGGGCTTGGCTGAAACAAACAAACAAACAAACAAACAAACAATCCTAAACCGTAAATCCTAACAAAGAATGGGGAGACTCTTCCTATCTTGGAGATAAAGGTGCTGCTAATAATGTGCTAAAAATAAGTGGCAGGTGCTATGCTTGCCTTTTCTGATCTCGTGCAGTCTCCCCAGGGCCAGTGAGGTGTGCATTGCTATCCTCATTTGGAGAGGAGATTGCTAGAAGGGGGGGGGGGGGTCAAATGTCACCATGAGGACACCAAGTACAGCACACGGGCATGTAAGTGACTTTAGGTGGTGGGATGGCACAGACCAGGGGCACTCATGATGCCGCTCTGCGCATTACAATTGCATAATTTTAATGTTAGAAGAAATGTGATGCAGGCATCCAAGGGACCTGTTATTCATACAACAGACACTTACTGGGGCCCCACTGTGTGCTGGAGCCTGGGCTAGATGCTGGGAAGTCAAATAAGACACAAGTGGTCCTTGGTGTGCCTGGCTGGCTCAGTTGGAAGAGCATGCAACGCTTGATCTTGGGGGGTTGTAAATTCAATCCCCACTTTGGGTGTAGAGATTACCAAAAAAAAAAAAAAAAAGACACTAGTGGTCCTTGCCTTCAGGAAGCTTGCAGTCAAGGGCGGGGCTCACAAACTCACGATGCAGGAGGTGAGGGAGATGAACGGAAGGGCTGGACGGGCATCATGGGCACGGGGCAGCACATACCCCATGACAGGGAGGCAGCTTCTGTCCTGTTCCCACCAGCAGTTGCCATGTCTGGCTGGCGATGCCAGACTGGCCATGTTTTCAAGAGATACCAGAAGTCTGGATATTTATGTGAAATCCTCAGCTTCAGATGTAAGCAACTACTTTCTTAAAACAAACACAAAAACAAGAAACAAACCCACAAACATAGGGTGAGCCAAACCTCAAGCAGCTATGGGCTGGATTCAACATGTAGGCTGTATAGGGTTTTATTTCTAGCCTAGAGGCGGGAGTAGAGCGCAGACTGAGGGGGTGTTCAATTCATGTTGGTTGGATAAAGAAGAGACTGAATGCATCCTAGCCATGCGAGTTTTCCTTGCATTTGTAAAGACCACCAAGGTCAGATCAACCAACAAACTTACCAGTAATCTCCATTTGCTGAGCACCTGACATAGCTCCCCCATGGGATCCATACCTCGAACCATTTTGTCTGCCAAACCAAATGCACAGAGGAATAATTTTTAAGTTTGTCAATCAAAGAAGGTAAAAAAAACAAAAAGGGTATCCAGAGCTTCTGCTCAGCCTGAGATGAACAGGGCTACCTATTAAACTGGTCTCATTCCAGCCAAAGTAAGGAGAATGGAATTTTATGGCTCCTTCCAGGACTGCTGGGGACCCTAGTGTTCCTCTGTGAGACCTGTCCAGGCCTGAACGTCGAGTAGGAGGCTGGCCTGGTCCCCAGGCCTGGGTGGCCGATGGAGTAGGGGGTGCTGCATCTTACCCCTCAGTTCTCCACACTGTTAAAATTTCGTTTTGGTGGTCCAACCTCATGGAAGGGATTTGACAGCATCTAGCAAATGACACACACGCATGCCCTTTTTAAATGTAGCGACTCTACGTCTAGGATTCGAATCCAAAGACACATTTTGACCAAAAGAGAAAACTACTGCTAGATAAGCCAACCAAGTCAATTTTAAAGGTCTAATTGGCTTTAGTAGACAATTCACGGACCGGGCAGCATCCTTTCTAGCAAATAGAGGGGAACTCCTGAGGCGTTTGTACAACATGGAAAGTATTCATGGAGGGAGGGTGGAGCAAGAAAGTTACCAGCAAAAGAAAAAGATTTTCCAGGTGAGGCTGCTTTCCCTTGGGGGAAAACCAAGCCGTCTTATCAGACAGATCATCTCATCTTCCTTTAGGGGGTGGAGAGGGCCCATCTGGCCGACTCATTGGCGCGCATCGGAAAAATTCCTGACTGATCAGTTAAGATTACCTTTCTGGGGGAGGTTGGAACTGCAGTTAGATTCTGTATTAAGCTTCCACTGGGGACTTGGCCTAAGTGACACCATTTTGGGCCTGTGGTGGTTTTTTTTTTTTTTTTTTTTAAAGACGAACGCACCAGCTCTGCACTGCAATGTTATTTGCAAAAGCAAAACATTAACAGGGTGCCTGAAGTGACCATCAACTGGGGACATCAGTCAGATAAGCTACAGTGCGGGCCGCACAACTGGGTACAACGCAGATGGAAAAAAGAAGGGGATGGTCGAGATCTCCAGGGTATATTGTTTGTTTAAAAAGGGGGGGGCAGAACAGAACAGCATTTATAGCTTGCTGCTTTTGCATACACAGACACGCATGTTTTTAATAAGATTCAGCGCAAGGAGAAACCCAAAACTAATAAGACTAGGTATTAATGGGGAAAGGCAGGGATAGAGGTGAGATTTTTCTTGTTTTCTAGTTTGACTCCGCCACCAGGTAAATGTTTTACGGAATCCATTGATCAGAAAGGCATCCCTCAAAATTAAGAACTAAAACAAATGAAGCCTGGGGCGCCTGGATGGCTCAGTTGTTTAAGCGTCTGCCTTCAGCTTGGGTCATGATCCCAGGGTCCTGGGATCGAGCCCGTCATTGGGCTCTCTGCTCATTAAAAAAAAAAAAAATAATAATAATAAAATAAAACAAATGAACCCAGTGGTTATCAAGCCGGTGACATAACCACCCAGAGCAAAACATTACTTCGAGTGGCTTTATTTATCTTTTTTTTTAAGATTTTGTTTATTTATTTGACACACAGAGAGAGAGGCACAAGCAGGCAGAGGGAGAGGGAGAAGCAGGCTCCCCACTGAGCAGAGAGCCCGATGTGGGGCTTGATCCCAGGACTCTGAGATCATGATCTGAGCCCAAGGCAAGGGCTTAACCCACTGAGCCACCCAGGTGCCCTTCAAGTGTCTTTAAAATGCAGAATTTTGACTCTACATTCACAGGGCGGGGGGGTCCTTTCCAAGGATAAACAACAATGACAACAAGGAAAAAAACAATGAAATCTGGAACTTCCTCTAGTAACCTTATTATTGGTGATGTTGCCACTGTTATTTTGACACCCTGAAGTTAGAGGTTAAAGCCAGTCAGTAATTAATTATGCAAATGTTGTCCTGAACCAAGACCTCCAGTGGAAGAAAAGAGATGTAAGTCCACAACAAAAAAGTTAAGAGTAAAACCCTGCCATCTGAAAACTTGAATTGGAAGTCTAAGTTTGTACTAATTAATTATTTTTCTCTTTCTAACAAAATATGTGGAGTTGACCTGAGAATAATGTGGGGTTTAGGGGCACTGACCCCCTCTCCCCAGGCTGCCGAAAATCCACATACAACTTTTAACTTCCCTAAAACTTCATTACTAACAGCCTGCCATTGGCCAGAAGACTAACCAATGACATAAAAAATCGATTAACACTTTTGTATGTTATGTTATACGATATTTTGTATGTTATGTGTATTATGACCTATATTCTTACAACAAAGTGAGCTAGAGAAAAGAAAATGTTATGAAGAAGTTCATGAGGAAGGGAAAAATATGTTTATAGCACTGCACCCCATGTACTGCAAAGATTCTGTGTGTAAACGGACCCGCACAGCTCAGACCCGTGTTGTTCACGAGTTGACTATCTCTTGGCTCTGGCAGCCGAAAAACCTAGAAGCCATGATAATGTGATAGCATGGAGTACCCTGAGGCCCAGCTTGTGGCTTCTAGATACCGATTTCATTTACCACTAGAGGATCAGGGATTCTTGAAGAGATGGCTGATTCCAGGGCCGGGCCAAGAAACGCACAGAAGGAGCTGAGGACATCTCGAAAGTCCAGAAAGTTGGGAGCCTCCAAAGATCACTGGAGTCCTGTCCAAGGGCTCGGGAATCAGTAGGAAGAGGCTTCCAGTGGCCAAAAGTGGGACAATTTGAGCATCACATCAACTCAATCGAAACAAACTGAACATACAAAAAGCCATGAGTTCCATATGATATTATACAGCAGCTACTTCATCACCATGAGGGGATTGCTAGGGCACCGACTCATTATTCTGATCATTGATAGAGAAAGGGAAATAATCATCAATATGTATGCTGTTTTTGTCTGAGCGAATATTTCAGGTGTATTTCAGGTAACTACAAATAATGCTGAAGGAAAAATCTTTATTGAAGAATTCTAGAAATTAAACTCAGAAGGAATGGTAGAATGAAGAAATCATTGTTTTGCAATTCCTAATAAAACAATGGATCTAGGGGAAGAGCATCGGTGGATATCGGACCCATAGGATGAGAGGTCGAAGGGGGAAGTCCAACAGATGTTGATCACATCAGGACCCACTGATCAACCCTAGCATCTATCAATTATGTACCTATTGAAATGATGTAGTAAGAGATCTATGGAACTGTCTATGAAGTATTCCAATAATTATTTTTTAACTTAAGTCCGAATCTAACTAGCAGTCTTCAGGAAGGATGTAGATAAAGGAACAAGGAAGCAATCATCTAAACCCAATACTTGGGACATTCTAGAAGATAAGTGACCCCCACCCACTCCCACTTTTTAAAGATTTATTTATTTATTTTAGAGAGAGAAGGAGAGAGAGCAGGGGGAGGGACAGAGGGTGAGAAGCCGACTCCCCGTTGAGTGCGGAGCCCAACATGGGGCTTGATCTCACGACCCTGGGATCATGAACTGAGCCAAAATCAAGAGTCAGATGCTCAATGTACTGAGCCACCCAGGCGCCCCTCGCTCCCTCACTTTTTGAAGAAAAGAGCATAAAA